TTTATTCTCATTAATATTCAGATGTTTTAATTATAATATAAGACTATGCAAATGTCTGTGGTCATCTCAACAACTGGAATAGGTCGAAAGTTTTTGAGGGTACGAGTAGATAATAATTCCTAACGAAGAGACGTTGATAAATATGCTTTGTATAACCTGTGTATTTGCCCTTATGATAAAAGAAAATAATAAAAATAATAATAATAATAATAATAATAATAATAATAATAATAATAATAATCGTAGAAACTGACGAATTCCGGGTAATTTTGATTCATTTTTTTATTAGTAAGTGCATTTTCTGTGTTCTTAACTATAAAAATGCTTACGTGCTGAGAATAGAGCAGAGATAACAAAGGTATTTGTCAAGACTCGGAAAAATATCTGATTTAGGGTTTTCATTAACTGAAAGTTTCGAGGATTCGAAGATTTCTCAACAATAAATAGTCCTGTTGCGCGTGAGTTGGGCCACGCCCGGCATTTCGCCGTGGATCGTCGTGCTCCGCCCTTGTCGCAGTCTGTTCCGCTCGCGCAGTGCTGCCGGATAACGCCCGCGCCACAGGCACAACGTCTCTCTCGATTCGAAGCGCTCCTCTCATTCTGTCTAAACAACGCGCACCCTCCAGGCAGAATCCTCTTAAACGCTCGCGCCTCCCCTTCTCAAAATCCTCGCCGAGAAGCGGTTGCGTCGCGCCTTGCTTCGCGGAAATCCGCTTCATCTCCCTGCGCTGGCGATGTATCCTCGAGTGGTGCCGCTGCCTTCTCTGCAGTTTGTGCTGTTTTCTTCTTACGTGTGCATCACCTCTCGATTCGGTTTGTCTTCTATTCGCGAACTGAACGAAGCGCGTACGTCTTTGCGTCCCCAGTTTTCCCCGATCTTTCTAAGCATCTCTCTTTGCTTGTTTCCTTGTCTTACTCCGATCTCGAGTCGTACTTCTCTACATTATTCGTTTCTGTTGCCATTGCTATCGCCCGCTCCTGTTCATATGACATCACTGACCAAACCCTGTTCTCTGTCCTTTTTTGCACACGTTTTCTGTTTCTCTTCTCATTTTCTCAATTTTGTTTCGTTTCTGCACCATCTAGTTTTCTTCTTTCCTGTTGTATTCAAAGTGGGGATGGAGGCAGACCCTACGCTGCAATAACATCCTTTCCATTTCTCATCGCCCTCCTCCACACCCTTGTCACAGTTCCAGGGGAAATTATTTCATTTATACACAAGCGATTTTACAGTTGATTTGGAAGCAAACATTTTAACACAAACATGTTTACAGAGAACATAGACAAAAGTAAAACAGCGTTAAGAGTTCATTTATCCACTTTTTTTAAATGATTTATCATTAATTTGAAATTTATTTTTTCAACATGTGCAATTTTCTCACTTGTAGAGATCCTTACATTTCCCTACAAAATTAGGGACATTTTTGAAATGTGTGTGTGTGTTTTTCAGTTTACTTTCACACGAATTTTTTTTTAGTCATTTCATTTATTATTTAGGCGTTTATTGCTTCGTTTTATGCGTTCTACTGTTAAAAATTTAGCCTGTCTATCTATTGATAACTCCATTTCGTAAAGCAATTACTCGCGCGCCATCTTCTATAGCTGTTTCATTCTATTGTTTCTTGTTTTTTGTTTTGTTTTCTTGGGCCCAGTGGTCGTCAACCACTTTACCAGCTTCGTCCCCCCCCCCTCCACACTTCCTTCCATCGATTTCATTGCGCTGGTGCTCTGGGGGAGGGAGGCTCCGCGCGCCTCCCCATCTCCTTTCCTCTACCCCGCTCCCTCGCCGTCGCCTGCCCCCCCTCATATCGCGTTTATGCGCTTTGTTTCGGGACCTTTCGTGCGCGCTGGCGCTGTAACCGAGGTGGCCCGGCGGTGCGCCTTGGTGAACGGGGCCGACTTCTCAAACCAAATGGCTCCAAACGAATTTGGAGTGCGTGTTTGTAAACGCGGATATGTGCGCTATTTCAGGAATGAGTGATTCGTTTTAGGCGATTGTAGACGTTATGTGATTGTTGTTATGCCGAGTTTTCAACATTGAGGTACACGTTAATATATTTTTACTGATATATGAACTCTTCGAAGAAAGGGGGATGATATAGATGGACTAATTAACTTGGAATTGGAAATACGATGCTAGGTAGCGTTCGACGTGTTACGTTTCTTCGAATTCCATTTAATGTCAGCGAATCAAATTGCCATAATCATAACCATGTATCAAGTGTCAGAGTTTTAATCAAGCCTTCGGAGATTAACAAAGGTTCACTATTGCAGATACGTTAAAAATGTGGTTGGTATATTGCTTTTTAACTGGTTAAATGTAGCATCGCCGTCGCTGTAAACTGTTTTAAAAACAGTTTCACGTGTTGGAAATTTCTTTCATACTTCATTTCTTTTATGCCTATTTGTTTAAATATCTTTTATGCCCATTTGTCCTTCCAGTATCTGACATTGGACCTACCAATGAATCGTAGAAGCTGATAATATTATATTCACATTCAAAACTTCTCAACACCCAATGGCCTTGTATCTTATCTCCATAAGGGATATGAACGGGCCTTATTGCAATATCAAAATTATAATCGCTGAAATAAATACTTTCAGGTTTTGAAGCTAATAGTTAAATTTTAGTATTTGCACTCTTACGCAAGAACGTAAAAGAGCGAAGTCGAACACAATGACGATCATTTATTCTCTAGCATTACTCACAGTTTTGTTTCACCGTATTAACGTGAAATTCTTAAAGTTTAATAAGTTCCGAGGCAATACAGTTTGTAGGTTTTCGCAAATTTATTTTTTACAATACGATAATTCGAATCTAAATTGATATCATACAGCGCGATTTACTTGATAATTCAATAGTTAATTTAAAGATGTCAGCATCAGTGTTGCCAACGTTGTGAAAGAAAATTATGGCGTATTAAGTTAAATATGCCTTGGGTACTGGTGTCTAATTAACGCCACCTATTTAGATCGATTTAGGGGGTGTTGATTTAATTCCGGGCATTATCACTAAGATTGTAGCTCCAAAACACGAAAAAAACAAGTTTTTGTAAATTTATTTAAATCTTCTATCCGGACAGACAAACAATCACCAGTTCCCTACGGGGAGATCCGCCGATACTCGCGCCGATTGAAATCTCGATTGATGCACGGGATGTGGTCTAGCCGGACTGGCAGAATCGCACATATCCGCACATACGCATTCTCAAAAGAGTTTTACTCAAAAGGGCTTGCGCAAAAATGCGGGCTGTGAACATTTGTTATGAATATAAGATTATGCAGTTAAACACTTCTTGAATACTTCTTGACTAATAGTGACTTCATAGCTTCAAAAATAGAATTAGTATAAATTTAAAAAAAAAAGTTGGTTGTTTCAAAGTATCCATTATATTGCTTTTATTCATTGTATTAAATACGTATGGATTTCCAATGGATAACAATGACAAAGCTGGAATGGCAAAATTCAGTACCATCCAAATCCTCTTCTGATCCTCTTTAGCTGCAGCTCAGAGACTGCGTTATGGCAGTGAATTGCGGAAGCTACAAAGTACTCTTGCCTCTGAAGGGAATCGAACCCGGACCCTCGTGCGTGAAACAGCAGGCTGACCATACACCACTTAGAGTCGGACATATTTTCTAAGCCTCGTGTTACGAGTATTTCCATGAGTGTTTACAATAAATACGTGATTATATTGTTTAATTCGGACTAAAATAAATATGCGGAATTATTTCTCTGCATACGTATTATAATAACGGAAATAAGATAATAATCCCTATAGTTTGTTTTATGCTCGAAATAGTTTCCGCGTAATAATGTATTTTAGACCTCACTTTTTTTCAGACCCGTAATAATGTTATTGTAATAGAGTAAGATTAGTAATTACAATTGGAATATTTACACATATAAATTCAAGTGACAATTTTACAAATACGTGAATAACATTGCCTACATTTTACTTTCTCATTGCGAAATAAAGAGAATGTTACGTAATGCTGCACGAGAGAAACAGAAAATCTTCGGCAGAAAAACTCTTATTACAGTGCCCTGGGAACGCAAAAGTGAATAAATCCAGTTGTTAAATTTACAAAAAAATCATCTAACACGTGGCGTAACCAGAATCCATGTTTTTGTGGGTCCTTGATACCGAAAAATCGAATGGCGGAAAAACGTCTGCCTGTGGGAGACATTCCAAATTTAAAAAAAAGGGGGGGGCTCCATTGTTTATTGAATTCGTTGTTGGTTAGTGTAAAGGATATTTAGGAGAATGGTACAGGTGGCATTCAAAACCCTGTTAATTGCAGAAGTTAACATTTTTTCGGAATCTTGCTACAACTACAATTATTATGAAGGTAGAGATTTATTCGCTTAATGAAATCTGTTCTTTAAGATTCTATTATGAAATAAGGTCTTGTACAATTTTGCGAAAGGTTGGGTGCTTTTGCGTAATTTTGCGTGAAAATATGGGCGAGTAAGTACGTACTGTTTTAGCACCACTAGGTGAGAGAAAAAAAAGGTAGTTGTCACTTCCTTCTATTTAAGATTACCTAATTATTGAAATGTTGTACAGGTAAAGATCGTTCGTCTGTTCACATTCATGCCTTGAATAGAGGTGTGTGTAAATTACTCAGAATAAACTCGGGTTTAAAGGGAGTTCTTTATACCCGCATTTTTACGCGAAGTCTCCATTACTCCTAATTTCTTTTCATCCTTTGACTTAACAAATTCATCCTTGGCGCATATAGATCCTTTTCGGAATTATGTTTTGTTTTCATAAACTAAATAACAAAGTGTTTCGTCCTTCACCTGATTTCTGTGAAAGTGATAATTTCAAATATATATTTTTCATTAAAGTTTGTATTAGTAGATTTTTATTGAGCTAAAGCGATACACTGTCATAAGAATTACCCAATTAAGAACATGCATGTGCATGTGGGACATTTTGCCTTTGCGAAACGACGGGAAGCCCTCTAGTCTAACGCTGCTTGTTTGTGCGCAGTACGTACGGCGGCGGCGGCAACCCAGCCACGTGACCTTGCTGGAGATCGAGCTGGTGAAAGGTTCCAAAGGGCTGGGCTTCAGCATCGCGGGCGGCATCGGCAACCAGCACATCCCGGGCGACAACGGCATCTACGTCACCAAGATCATGGACGGCGGCGCGGCGCAGATCGACGGCCGCCTCGTTGTCGGGGACAAACTGGTCGCCGTGCGCAATACACCGGTAAGTGCGCTGTGGTGTGCGCCTCTTCCCTCCCCTTCCAGGGCTTCTCCTCGCCTTCCTTCGATTTCGGTCTCTTCTTCCTCCTTTTGTCTCTTCTTCCTCCTTTTGCCTCTTCTTCCTCCTTTTGTCTCTTCTTCCTCCTTTTGTCTCTTCTTCCTCCTTTTGTCTCTTCTTCTCCTTTTGTTCTTCTTCTCCTTTTCTCTCTTCTTCCTCCTTTGTCTCTTCTTACTTCTTTTGTCTCTTCTTACTCCTCTTGTCTCTTTTCACTCCTTTTGTCTCTTCTTCACTCCTCTTGTCTCTTTTCACTCCTTTTGTCTCTTTCACTCCTTTTGTCTCTTTTTACTCCTTTTGTCTCTTTTTACTCTAGTCTCTTTTTTACTCTCTAGTCTCTTTTTACTCCTCTCGTCTCTTTTTACTCCTCTCGTCTCTTTTTACTCCTCTAGTCTCTTTTTACTATTCTTGTCTTTTGATTCTCTTTGTCGCTCTATTTTTTTCGTTTTAACTCCTGTTTCATTACCTCTATTTCCTCCTGTCCATCTCCTCTTCTTTCTGTGTATCTCCTCTTCTTGTTCACTGTTGCTTTTGCCTTCGCCTTTCCCACGACACATTGCACTCCTCTAGCTTTCTTTCCCACTTCCTTCTCTCTCCCCTCTTCGTCACTCATTTACTTGCTTCTTCCAACATTCATATACGTTACTGCTCTCGCATGCTCCTCCTCTTATCTCCTTCGAACCTTCCGCGTGTTTTCTAAGTCCTACCAATGATTACACCATAATACCTAATTCCAATCCTTTTGCGCTGTACCTTCTGTACCGTGTTTCACATACTGGGTAATTTTCATCATTTTTGCACTCTACTAATCTGCATATTTATTCACGCACCAACCGACCTCTTCTTTTCAGTCTTCTGCCGTTCCCTTTTTTACTCTTGATTTATTTGTGTGTTTATTTTTAAAGATATATCTAAGTATTTTAAACAAAAGTACGTATCTTAAAGGAAAAGAAACACATAAGTTTTCGTTATCTTAAAATTTGAAACGTGTCATCAACCGTTATCACAACTCGCTACTTCGTTGTTTCGTTCACAAGTTATTGCTACCTCTTCGAAATCTTGTGACATCACGATGGGGGAACGCATTCTGACGAATCCAATTTTGTTTTAAATTTCACTTGATATAGCAACAGTGATGATTAGTGGGGAAAAAATTGAAACACTGTGGAAACGAGTGGTTTCTTGTCACGTGACCATCCTTTGTTCAGCTATTTCAAGTATGCTGGGTATGTCCTTCACTAGTAAACAGTGGTGGCTGATGTTCCTCAAAGATGGAAGCAGCATCTTCGTCGAATGAGGGATATGGAATTCAAACTAATGCTCTCATATTCTGGGAGTTCCTATTAATACCAACTGCAAACAGTTTTTTTTTATTTATGTGGGTCCCAGAAGTGTCACGTTTCTTCGATTTGTCTATTATATTGAATTCTTTAAACATAACAAAAATAACCGTTACGTTGTTTTAAAACCACTTTTCGTCCATGTATTGTGACTTCCAAATCTTGTATCGGAGAAGCAAAACGGATATACAACACTATCACTTGCATTTCCGACAAAGAAACGACTTGAATTAAAACATTTTTCAGAGTACATTTTGAATAATATTTTGAGAACTTGGAATACACCTTCTAGGTCTCTTTATTTCCAGTTTTTCTTCAAACTGCGTAAACTGAAATTAATTTCATTAAATTTTATACCGTATTCATTGTCTACCTAATTCATTGAGAGGAAGGACGAATCAGGGAAATCTATCATAAACGTTCTTCTTTCCTAATGTAACTATAAATCCGCACCAAAAATTCATGCACATAATCGGAAGATATACTTCGTTGAGGAAGAAAGTCGGTCGGTCGGTCGGTCGGTCGGTCTTAATTCGCTAGCAGCAACAGTAGCGACGTATAACCCCACAATAACAACAGTAAAAAAAAAAGAAAACAGGACAAATTTCGTAAAAAAAAATAAAAGAGAGAGTATATAGTGGATGCATGGAAACCCTGGTACCCAAAGCTTTTAGGTCAAGTGCTGTTAATCTGACAACACATGCGGGAATTACTCGATTACTTCGATTATACTTACATTTTGTTTCTTGCCCCAATCGTCGCCTTTCGTTTTGTTCTTTGTAGATATTAATGAACAGAAAAATTAAAGTTTGTGTTTCGATCCTTTTCAATTTATTTCCTGAACGATTAACACTTGCCAAATATTTAATAATATTTTTTTCTTTTCGCTTTCTCAATGAATGTTTTGGATAATTTCAAAGATATTTATAGAAATCAAATATTTTCCTAACATTTTTTCCACTATTTTTTATCATTTTCTTTTGACTATGTATTTTATTACATTTTTCGTACATTAAGCTTCCGTAGAAATTCAATTCCAATTTAATATGTCATAAATGATTTCTTATGCGGAGGGACCTATCAGTCCCTTACAGTCTATTTTGAGTGAGTTAAAATAGCGATAAAATCGTACCCAATGGAGAATTGTTCATTACGTTTCTTTTAATTGTAAACATTTTGTAGCAATCAGTAGTAATTAACACTTCAAGTTCATGAGAGAGGATTCCCCCGATTCAAATCAGAACACCAATATTATTTTATAGGAAAAAAAGCAAGTTTCCTTTAAAGTATTTTCAACGTTCGATGTACTTTTCTTTCTCTGATTCACGCTAGTATGTACGTGAGTGCAGGGGACATAAAATGTGGGGTATTCGAGGGCGATTGCTATTAGAATCACGTAACTATCACAAAGGCACTTTTAGCTTCGGCTCGTGTCACAGTTTCTAGTGGTGCTCCCCACAAAATTAAATTAACGCGCTTTTAAGTCGGGCGTGGGTCGTTCTTTACGGGGCAGCCGAAAGTTGCGACCGCCTCTGAAGTAGCACCGAGACCGCTGGCAGGTCCTGCGAAATTTCGTTGCCATGAGCTTCCGTCTCCCCGCCCTCTCTTCCGCGTCCCCGGCCGCCTCTCGCCGCCTCTCGCTGCCCCCCGCCCTTTTCTTCTCGAGCGACCTTAACTAGTTCGCCGAGATTCCTCCCTTGATTTAACTTTGCGGGTGCTCCGTTCTTCGATACGTGCCCGTGCCGCGCCGCGACCCGACCCGGCGTGGGGGCGGGGGCGCCCGCGCCCCCACAATGGCAGGGCTTTGTCTGTAGGGCCGCCCGTGATTTGACTTGTATATGAGACGACGACGGCTTGGGTCGACGTTTTCGTTGCTGGCGCCTCCCGCGATGCTTCTCCTCTCGCCCCGTTGCTCTCCCCCCCCCCCGGACTCTTGGTCTAGCGCTTCGCGAATTAGGAGTGGTGCGTAATTCCGAATCTTTCGCATTAAATGTGCCAGCAGCTCTTACTTATTATTTGGAAAATCCTTCAATGAAGTCTTATACATGTTTTAATCGTTATTTTTCGTTAAATGTCTAATCGTAGTAGATATTTGGCATTTTAGGATCGGATTAACTCGATTTGCCTGCTATCTGTGTTCTCAGACCTGAGCTTTGTTTTTATTTATTATACATGTTCCGGCAATAAGGAAGAGCATGTGACGAACACGACGTGTTCCCATCACCGTACCTTACTTGATCTGTTTAGGATTTCTTTTTGTCTTTCGTCACACAGCTGTCAAAACAGACGATTATAATGGAAAGCTACAGTTCTATTTTTAGCCCTGCCTGAAATACAACCCGGGACCGCCTTACAGAGAGCTAGCACGCTTTCCACGAGCCAGCCGAGTGGCATTTTCATGAAATGAAAGTATTTTTCCACCAACACACTTCACTTATTTGAGTACATATGCAAGCTCTATTTCATTGAATCATTGCTTATGTCATTCCTTGGGCGGAAAATGGGACAAAATCGTTAAATTTTCAGTTTTGTAATAAAGATGTTTTAGATTGTGTCGGGAAGTGCATCACTCTGATAAAACGTGAACATTAACTGAACGGGGCGATGAAAAGCATGTAGTTTTGAAAAATAGAAACATTAAATTAGAATTATTTTCTTCGGGTGTAGTGTTTAAGCATTCCGCTGATTCGAAAACAATTTGATTAACTGTTAATGATCTCGAAATTCTGTCAAAAATTGTGAAAAATGCATTCACAAGTATTATCTTGCAGGTATAACACCATTATGAAAATAATTTAGTAAAGTTTATTGGCACGTAACTCGTAACGCATAACTCATTTTTTAATCGAAAAACTGCTTTCATGTTAAAGTTATCTTTATGGGTAATGAGGTCCCCGAAGTATTGCTACTTCGCGTAGTATGGAACAACGATTGTAGTGAAAGCTGATTTATGCATTTGCGTTGCATTTTACGCCCACCGAGATTCTGAACATTCCATAAGCTGGCGCGGTGTGCTAATACTTGGTCTTGATGTTTAGTGAGCGAATATTATTCACAAAATAAGTTTTTTCTGTAAATATTCAGAGAAAAACTCATTCGAAATTTCTTTTTCACACAAACTGTCCAAAGTTGATTTCAAATCTTTGTATTCTTGTTAATTATCAACAACCCAATCGGACTACTACCGCCACGAAAAAATTATAGATATTTAATTAAATCTCGGCTCTTGAAACAACTACTGAGCCTGCTTGCCATCTAAAAGGAAGGCATAGAACCCTATGTAATATATTGAGGGAAATATTGCTTCTGTGTTTAAGGATAAACGCTGGCTCGGAAAAACTTAAGTATTTTGATTTGAACATGAAAGAGTGGTATGCGATTTGGATATTTGACATGTTAAGAGAACTCTTAACAATAAACTCGATTTTGAATAGTCCGTAATCTGGAGTCATCAAGATGTGCGATTCGTACCAAAATGAATGCAATGTTTGGCGTATTTGATACACCGGAAAGGAACAAAATTCAAAAGGTTTTAGAGACGCGAAAGGGCCCGCTTAAAAGTTCAGCGACGCTGTCGGAGAGTCGTCGCCTGTGGCGGGCGCTTACATCGAGGCCTTCGTCCGCCGGGCATACGTACCGCGGGCCAGCCGCGCAGTTTCGTTGCCCGTTTTATGTGCGACATATCGCGGAGAAGCGGGCGTGATTGGAGCGCCCAAACCGCGCGCGTTCGCCCCATCGCATTCGTTACGCAGAGGGCGGGTGACGTCAAACACACGGCTTCGTTAGGTCTTTTCGGCACGTCCCGTGCTGTCCCTGTGCGGGAATATTAAAATTCATTTGGGATTTTTATTCCTCAGGACGATGGTGTTTTTTGGCGGACGGAATTCGAAGTGAAAAAAGAATTGGACTTTCCGCTGCCCGACGCTGCCAAAACGCAGGAGTGGACGCGCCAGAGCCACGCAGGGCTGTATTATATTGCGCCTGTACGGCTTGGGTTGGGATACGACATGCCTTTTTATATGAATAGCTGTCAGGAAAGGAATTCTATTTAAATTTACTAACAGCCGCGATGAACAATTTTCAAATTACGTAAGGATAATTCGTTATTAATTAAAAATGGAAAATGGATGTTCTACGTTGCGGAAATGAATTTTTCAACCTATTTAAAAACTATTTTTTGCTTTCAGTAGTTTGAAAGCAAATCTGTTTTAAATAGTGTTCAAGGTTTACATTTTTCATTTAATGCTGAATTAGAATGGCAAAACCGGTTTACTTTGTTTAATGCTTGATTGGCTTTCATTCATTTATACTTTGTTTTACGTATTACTTCTATTTTATCTTCAAGAACGCGATTAAGGTGCGTGTTAAAACAGTGGCGTAAGTTCAACAGAAGGCTTTGGACCGACAAAGTACGGGGTCCCAGAATTGAAGACAAGGCATTAACATAGTTTTGTGATCTTAAACTGAATTTTAGCTGTGAAAACATTATCGATTATTACAGAAAATAAATGATAATTTTTGTAATTTCATGATATAATTTAAAATGTAAATTTTAGTATTTTCTTCGCAATTTATCAATTATATTATTTTTCAGCCACATTGTTTTTTCGTGCCCAATTGATACAATACTTAAATTACACATACTGTGTTGTGCCATTCTACTTACTAAATAATGTAATCAGCTTTGATTTTTATCTGTCGGCGCTGGCGTAGTCAGGAAGTGTCAGAAATAATGTGAATACTATTGACACGTCGAGAAAACTTGTTAATGAAGAGCAATATTCCATTACTAAAAAGGTTGCTAGGTCTTTAACAGACCCTAGTTTTCAATTGACTTTTAAAAAAACACACAGAGACAATAACTGACGCGACAAGTTTTTCGTAACATCGGCAGGGTATTTTGATTGACGTTTTTGTGCTTCTTCGTAAGTTTCATCATCCGAAAGGGCTATCAATACTTGAAGCCACTGTATTTTTCAATCTAACAAATTCCAAGCGGTTAACGACAACAATAGCTAGGCATCCATAGTTAATATTAAGTTTGTATCTTTGTTCGTCGTCAGAGAGTCATTGATCCTTCGCTTCTACTTTTCAGACTTGGATTATTTTTTAAATCGTCATAGTGATGGTACCATTGGATTATTTTTTTAAACATAGTAATTCCTAACAGTTTTCAATTCTTCGTAAACTACATCGAGTAAATTCTGCGCCTAACGCAAGGCTAAATCAGGGCATTTCGAAACAGTGTCAGTTTATGTTGGTATTTTGAAATGTAGTACTACGCGGATAACAAATTTAAAATGTTCCATTTCTATTTTCAAGTTATGGGCTTCATAGTTCAGACAATTTGTTAGAAAATTTAACTTTTTTATTACTTATTTAACGTAGCTATTCAACCACTAACATTCTATAGCGACCACCGTAAGTAACATTCGACAATATCAAAATGCAACCCTTATGATGATCGATCTCCGGCATTCCTAAATGCTATGAAAGATTAATTTTTTATTTTCATCCGTTTGCCGGATTCATTTTTCTCACAAAGTGTGTCTGATAAAATATGAGAGTAATGATTTCGTTTTGAATTTGAGAGCTTATATAACACGGGGCCCCGGTCGTGGTCCTGTCGGTTCGTATGGAGCTTACGCCGCTTTCTTAAGATCAGCACATTTACCTTTAAAATCAGGAATTCTTAAAATTTACACAGATGCACTGTGTAGATAATTTAAAATGTATATGTTTTATTGTCGGTCTCCTCTAGAAATGAAATTCTTTTTAATGTTGTATCTTTTGTTTTTTGAAAGTCTCCTTCAGTTCACCCTTAACCGAAATGAACAACATACATGACTACCTAACTGCACGAAAATTCGTATTCGATTAATTTACGCGCGATTCCTCTAGCCCTCGGAAAGGCGCGTGTGAAAAAGCCCGCCTGCCCTCCCGTCTCTCGGCCCCCCGTCTCTCGGACCGCCATACCAAGAAAGGATGGAAACTGCACACGTGAAATATCGCTTGGTGAGCACTTACGGAGTGGCGGAAGAACCGCGGTCATCGCTGATAATTCATTCTCTGGGCGAAGCCTCACAATGGACTTGCGCTGTCTGCCGTATTGAATTGCAGCCGCCGCCTCTTCCCGGCCAAATGTATTGTAATGTTATTTATCTGCGAAGTGTTAGTACTGTTCGTTAACGGTATTGTCTAATGAGCGATTATTCATGTCAGAATGACAATTTGTCCGTTTCTTTTTCCTTGTGGAGAATTTCTTGCTTTTGATGAGTTGCGTTTTTAATTATTGTAAACCACTTTGCAGCTATCTGTGAAAATTTTGATTTGCTCCAGTTTCGATTGTTTACTAAAAGAGTCTGATCAAAAGTATGTGCTCTTTCAAAAGTATGTGCTCTTTCAAAAGTATGTGCTCTGCATGTGTTGAGAGTATATAGATTTTTCTTGTGAAAAAATTATTATGGTTATATACCCGATTCATCCTAGTTTTCTATAGTTGCCTTAAATCCACATCTTTTCTTAAAAAACGGTTGAATGTACTCGGTTATTCCTCAGAATTTGGAGCTTGAAATACCAGATTTCTGAAGCAACAGCTTTCTTGACACTTGGTCAAAACTTACTTAATTTTGGGGAAGGAGGGGAAAAGAAAAGGAAACGGGAAGTAATTCAGGGAGGACATTATTTTATTTGATGACTTTTCTACTTTCGTTCATAAGAAAAATATTCTTAGGAATTTTGTTATATTTTTAATGGAATAAAATGATAAAATGTTGAAAAATCTTACGTATTTTATCTAATGAAGTGGTGTATTATATTTGCTGTTGTATTTAAAAATATTATTGTGTAAACACTTTTCAAATATTTCAAACATAATAATAAAATTAAATGACATGGAATTTGTTTCAGCATGGAGACAAGAACTTGGAAAACGTTACACATGAAGAAGCAGTAGCAACTCTGAAAGCCACTCAGGAACGGGTGGTGCTCTTAGTTGCTAAGCCAGAATCAAATTATATGCCTCCACCGCCAGATGTCTCCAATACGCCTCCGCCGCCTCGTGAGTATCAAAGAGCGATCCGACGTAACTAACAACATGTCAAGGCCTCTCACATCTTATTAAAAAGCTACAACGATTCTCTTGCTGTAATTAATAGTGATGGTTTATGATGGTTTCTCAGTAAAATACCCTGGATTGGTATTCCCAGAAAGCCACTGACTAACATTTGTTGTGCTGCTTCCTGTGAAAACAACAGTCGAATCTATTCACATGTTCTAGTTTGTTATTTCATATGTTTTGTGCATTTGTCTTTCATCTTCCTCTGTTCACAGAGTAATGCTTGTGCACAGTCAACCTCATCGTCTTTTCCCAATGCTGTGAAGCATCAGCTTATGGCTGGCATTCTCTATGTTTCTTCATGATCTTGTGTCTTGTTTCTTTAAAACAGCACATTCCTTTCCTTCTGTAGATAACTTTTGTGCTTAATGTCATGGAAAGCTGCACGTACATTCTCTGACAGTTAAAGTGTCACAGATAAACTGCGACACGCATACATTGCTTGCATAGTCATTTATACTTGTTAAAAGATCTCTTGGTTGCATTTAGTAACGCACATATGGAATATCTCTTATACATTTAAGTGTAAGGTGTGTTCCACTTTTACACTATTATGTGCCAAAGCAACCAAGAGGTAAGTGAGAAAGGGTGTGATTGTGCAAATCAGATTGTGAAGTCCTGTTATATGTCTTTACCTGTCTGGTGATTCCATTTTGCTGTGACAGTCATAAAATAAATGACAACTTAAGTTCACTGGAACTTTATTCCAGAAAAAGGAAAATAAAAATAAAGAAAAGACCTCGGACAGGTACTGACATAATATTGTATGTACGCTCTTTGTAACATGAATGCTATTTTGAAATATCCTCTGTGTACATAATTGGCAAATGTGCACAAGCCCTGAAAATATTTCTAATTGATGGAAATACTACAAAAAGTTGTGTTGATTGTGTGTCTTACCTTGTACTTATTCTTGACAATGGAGACTAATAAGTCAGTGGTACCCAAGTGATATAAAAGGAGGCATAGAAGATTCTTCCTGTAGATTAGTCTAATAAAAATATAGTATATCATTTTATGGTAGATAAATGATAGAGAAGAACTATAAATGAATTGTATTATATTGTTCCATATAAAGATAAATAATTTAAAATTTGTTGGGAAATCTGGAATGGTTTCTGTCCATCTTCCTTCTAAGTGATATCATGCTCTTCTTAACATCTGTAAAGTATGGAAAGCATTCAATTTGTTTTTAAATAATAAATTGTGGCTGTTAATTAGAAAACAATGGAAAGTTGTAATTTTGAAGTTTTACATTTCCCAAATTATTTTTGAACTGATGTATCTTGTTACACATGTTTAATTATGCTATGAGGAGATTATTTGTTTCCTTATTAAAGAAATATAAGAAGTAAGTTGTTGAAGTAAAATAAGATTTTTTAAGGAATTAATCTTCAGGGAAACTGTTTCTCTAGCAAAGGTTTTCCTACTCTAATGCATGTGAACATTCCATTGATATTCTTTTTATTATAGGCTGTCTTGCAAACCTATTTAGTCTTCCTGTGTTGTGATTTTCTCTGTGCTATTTACAATGTATCTTCAATGCAATTGGACGTACATTAATGTATTTGTGTTGATCTTTGAGCACCTTTTTCTCTGCACATATTGAGATATACTCAAAAATTGAGAATAAATTGCCAGAGGCCTTACAGACATAACTTTTAATTCATTTTGAAGAAAAACTTTAATTTGGATGATTTCAGCATATCTGTGGGACCTTTTTTATAAGAAAATTATGAATACTTTTGCATTTTTATTTTATCAGATGTTATTTTAATTAATTGTATGATTTGTTGTCTTTTGCAATGACATGAACAGATTATCTGCTGAAATTATCTAACTTATCCATGAATGCATGCCCTTTTTACCACTAACCAACATGATAGGAAATACCTTCACCTATTCTCAAACAGCGAGAAACTATTGTACAGAAAAATGCCAGAAGGCAAGAAGTAAAGTTTTTTTTCTCCTTTTTTTCTCTTGTTAATTATGAAAAATATCAAAATACACGCTTTGTATTGTAATATCAAAGACAATCATCAGGATATAACCAAATTAGTAGTATATGAAAGAGTTTGAAAACTGGTAGTGCTGCAAATAGAAATACATTTTCAATGAACTTTTCAATTATGAAAACAACTCTTAATTTTCTCAGAACACTCATCTTTGTATGTGCTGTTACTTTACACATTCACACAGAAATATGAAAGTAATTCTGGAAAAAGAAACATTGCTTTTAAGTTCCAATGAATAATCAGAAAGATTGATAAGATGACAATATTCGGTGAGAATATTTAATCGCATCCAAAAAATTCACTGACACTTTTATCAGAGGTAGGCTACTATTCCTTAAGAAAATGAAAAGAGGTGTACAATTCTATTTGTTTTGTTGATATACTTTTATATGTTTGTTTCAGCACCTATAGAACCCCAAATTCCATACTCGGATTCACACAACACCTCGATGACACTGCCTGCATCCACACCTCGTGCAGTTAGTGAAGAAGACGTATCAAGGTAAGTTCAGAGTTGAACCCAAAGGATTCTGCTTGTGTCTTGTGAGTGGTGGTAGTAATTGCTAATTCTGGCTTGTGTATTTTCACAATGATTTTTGTGTGTTATGTCTTCAATCCTTCACAACATTGTGTGATATGAAGTGAAATTGTTATCCAATATTTTAGTTACATTGTAAATATAGAAGTGAGTGAGTAGTCACATCAATATTGGCATGTTTCATTGTTGTCTTGTGAGTGCATAATTCTGTGTAACCCTAAAGGATTTTCTGATATTTGTACACTTCTGTTAATTTTCTAATTTTACAACATATCAGCGACAGAAATAGAAGAATTCTGTAGACAATAGAGAACCAGGAAAAATATTATTGACTCTGTATTAAGGATTCCTGGTTGTAGATTTTATTGTTTGGTTTTAATGTTTTCATATTACTCATCATATGTTTCATGTCGTTTACATAGTGTCATAATACCAGTTTGTAAAGAAGAAAATAAGAAAATGCAATGTATAAATATTTCAGACTACTGTGATACATTTGTTTGGACCAACTGTGTTGCAGAATATGTTAAATTTTGATGTTGTAAAAGCATGCAAAATTCAATGATTGATCAACAATTTATAGTTTGTCATGATTACAAGATTGATTGAAATTGATAATGAGATGGTAGTTATATTTTAGGGTGAGAGCAAGGGAATTCTATAACTTTTGTAAACAAAATTGGAATTTTGTTTTGGAGTTCGGTAGAACTCTATTTCTTCAGTAGTAGAAAGCTGCACTTGTTCTTGATGTTATAAACACATCATTTAGTCTCAACTTTTTCCTAACTTACATTTATATTTGTGAGGAAAGAACATGCACGTTAATTATAATAATGTCATATGCAGATTCCCTTTTAATTATTATTATTATTATTATTATTAATATTTCGAATAGAGATGGTGAAAATTTCGTAAATTGCAATATGAGAAGTGAACCATTTCCTGATTCATCTGCAAAACTGGTTTAGAATCGGCTGCAATAAGTGATGAAGGAAAATTTCATTTCGTACAATTCTCTTATCATTGCATGAATTTAGTAGATTCACAGAAGAAACAACAATCAAACTTTGAAATATCTGAAAGCAGTGTATTTTTTTGCGAGGTATTATTTCCAAATCCTTATCTTACATCATAAATATACTGTCTACTACATCAGAACAACTATCAGTTTTTAATTAAAAGAAACCACTTTTAATGCAGATACCTTTGCTTTAATAACATTATCACCTGTAAAATTGAAAGTTTAATTGTTTATAATGAATTTCAATATTTGCTGTGGGGGTATAAAATCTGAATTGTATAGTCTTAAAAGTTTGTTGTTCATATTTATTTCTAAGCTTTTTGATCTTTAATGGTTCAATTGCTATTACTAGCAAGTTTGTTTTTGTTCATTCAGTATCATACATTATTTTCTAATTTGTATTAAAACATATTCTGAAATTTGATATTTCACAATTATTTTCCAAGTTAGTTTCTTTTTTAAATAGTGCTCTCTACCTTTATTACTAAAATATGGAGAATATGAAGGACTAACTATTCTAGAAATTTGAAGGGTTTATAGATATTGTAGAATTGAAGCTTAGATTTGAAGTAATTCAGTATTCGTTCCATCACTAATGTTTAGGTGGTTTTGTTACTGGACCAGAAAAGCAGTCACTGCATTCATTTTTAGAACATAATTTTTTCTATAACCCTGTAATTAATTTTAGATTTGTAAATTTGTAAGTTCTTTATTAATTTTCAAGTTAATGATTTTACTGAAATAATTTTTTATTGCTGTGATTTTATTATTTAACATTTTTGTTCTTATAAAGGAATGATTGTGCAAATGACATTATTATTTCTTGATAACAGAAGTTCAGGTATTTATTTTACCTGAAAAAGAGACAAAAAGGAATTTAGATTTATGAAATTAGTTTACATCAGGACTTAAATGAAAGGAAATTATATTTTCTTTGTAATCTTGATTGCAGAAGACTAGCTGGAATGATGACTATGAATTAGTGTCACTCATGACATCATTTTTATGAAAAGTAATAGTGGACACCCTTTTGAATCTGGTAATTGCTTTAGTGAAAATGCAATTAGTTTTCATTTTTTTCACTTCTGTAATCACCAGTACTAAGTTGGGTCACATCATATTTCACAAACGGGGAGCTCTGACCCCAAAAGAGATTTAAGGCTGTAGTCAGAAGTGGGATGATATTCTTTAAGAACGAACAAAGCCTATCAGCATCAATAGAAGAAATGAAAAACCTCAAATCATCTTCCATTCTCATTTAGATTTTTAACACTATCTGGCTCTGGAGCCTTCATTTGCGGAGAAAGACGAAATGCGACAGAATGTTCATGTTGTTCAGGTCTGCAGGCATTTCCAGCTTGGATCAAGATAGTGTCGGGAGAAAAAAAATTAACAAAAGAGGAATAAAAAGGCAAAATACTAAAAATAAGCATTAAAAGGTAAAATGGCTCGAAAAGAGCAAAATTAAAATCTACTAAAACAACACTAGAAGTACAATTAAGTGATTGCTAGTATTAAAATTCATAAAATCATAACAATAATAATAATAATAAAAAGGCACTTTGCCAACTTCCAGACTAATGTTTATATTACAATGTCAAAAAGATCATGTGTAGAAGTTAACAAACAAAATCTGACAATTTCTTGATTCTCATTGATAAAGATGGTTTTACCTAATGAAATAAATGTAAGAAGGTAAAATTCTCAAGTGTTTAAATGTCAATGCATTTCCGTTTAATATGTTCTCATTGTGCTTTTAATTTCAAATAATGAAATAAATTGGGCCAGATACAGACAAACCTCAGTACAGATGTTTTTAATTGGGAATTACAATGCAGGGAAGTGTAGTTCTACTAATATAATTATTTATGGTATTCTAGAAGTAAAATGAATGGCAAAATATCAGTGTAAATTGATTCTGTGGGAAATTTTTGTGGTATTTTCATTCTTTAGAAACAATCATGTGGTTAATAAACACAAATCCAGAATGGTTTATTTTTCTTCATGTGTGTGTTTTGAAGTTACAATAGTATTTAGAAATAATTATTTAGACAGTGAAAGCATTGATTTTCCTAACAATAATAAATTTTACAGATAATAATTCATTGTAAATATTTGTGAATATTAAATAAGTTTCATACTTGCAAGGGTTACAAAATGGAACACGACTCAATGTCCATATTGGAGAACTTGCTACATTGAAATGATTTGTAGTCAATTCTATTATTATTGGAATTGTGGAAGCATGATTTAATGTACTACTTTAAAATTACGTAACATTTATAAAATATGGTTATAAGAATACTGACATTTTTAATTTGAAACACTGATGTGAAGATTTATTAGGTAATTTTGTGCATTCAAAATAATATTTAATATGTTGCATTCATTAAAGAAATATGTTATTGATCTCTCACGCTTTTTTGCTCGTGTGCATCATTTGTTGGTAGGCTCTTACAAGTTAATTTATGATATTTTGCTGAAAGCTTGGAAAGTTCCTGACAAACTTTTAATTGTTTTGATAAATTAATATTTGATTCGTAAAAATTTCACAAAGATGATACAGTCTTTAAGAAGAATATCAACGTAGTCGTTTCGTCGGTATCGAATCTTGCGACTTTCTGAAATCGCGTCTGGAGATCCAGGAGAGATTCAGCGTCGTAAAAAACGTACTTTTAAGGCAGGGCGTAAATGTAAATGGGAAGTGGAGTACGTGCTTAGGGTTGGATAAGCCGCATCTCTGAAACTGGGAAACGGCTGCTTCGGCGGCCTAATAGCTGCGATAAGTAGCAAAGTTACTGCAAACACTGCGTGTGCTTAAAGTACGCCTCTTCCAGCCACAGCCACAGCATCCACCGCAGAAAGAGGGAGAGGACTCCAAAATGACAAGCTTGCATACACAGTCCAGAGGACGATGATATTTTTGACAAGTAGAGAAGTGCCATAATTCTTTTTTGCTTATACTTCGATTTATATAGAGCTTCATTGACTGATCACCACATTTTACGGTGTCATCCAATCGGAGGCTTACACTTCACTATGGTGACGTTTAACCTCCGTATTGGATGACACCATACCATCCGATTTACGTCAATATCTGCTTAAATCCACGTATAGGTAATCGTAAGAGAAGTCCCCGGCTTGTGGTCTCCGGGGAGACTAGAAATGAATATGCTCAACGCAGTGTGTTAACTACATGTTTATGCGTTCTACTTGTATTGTTTGTTTATAAATTAGACAAAAAAACTACGCACCTGATACTCATTCATAACTGAATCTTTAAGCCCGATTTAGCGTGTCATTTTTTCTCTTCAACTGAATGTGTAAAAAGTATTTGACCAAGGATGTGTTTTGATGGGATTTTTTTCTCTCCCATGCACGCTTTGAGTGCCCTGTGCGAAGTCTCGGCGTACTCCGGAGAACTTCCTCAACGATCCCGAGTTCTTGGCGCTTAGCGCGTGCGCTGCGTGGTGTGGTGTGGCGCGAATCAACAGCGTTGTGCAGCACTCCTCGGACTGCTGCCAATTGTTTCGCCTCCAGCGAGCGCTTTAATTGCGAAGAGGTGGAGTCGAGTTACCGGATAATTGCTTTCTCCGTCGAAGGGGTATATTTTTTGGACCCTGCCGGGGGAGCCCGTGCGGAAGACCAATCCTGCCATCAAAATAAATGAAGCAGTATTGAAGAAGCCGGGCGGTCATTCCGCGTTGATGTCTCGGCGTTTAATGAGGACGCGGTTACCCATTGGGAAAATAAGGCGAAAAGAAGTGAATTGACATGATTTTGTAAAAATAAATATTAATTAGGAAAGAAATTATGATGTGGCAGTGGTGGTTTTCGCTTCTAATTAGAGTTTTGAAGTGAGCGGCACGCCGAATGCGCGGCGGTTGGTTTCTCCCGTCGCATATAGATGTCGGGCGTTGTCTGCCGCGAGCACAGCGACTCT